AATATGGATTCAAAGTCGGCATAAATGACAAATGGTGCTTTTTGTTTGTGCCTATAGTTTTTAAATTCTAATATCGGTACGTCTCTCTCTTCACTTGGTTGCCCGTCTATGTATTTTGGTTTACCCAGAGGAAATACAATCTTTGATGGATGTGTATCTATACCCTTACAATCGGTGATATGTTTGTCTAATTTGTTTTGATTGGTAAAATGACAAAGACATCTTCGACAAAAATATTTCTTACATTTATGTTTCGTAACGTCGTATATCAACCTCGTAAAATCTTTTATCCAACAATAGTGATGCTTGTCACCTTTAGAAATCAAAAGCAGATCGATCTCTTTCCCCTTGTAGTTTTTAGACACGTATAATGGATATATCTCACCCTCATAACCATATACGTTTATCGATAAATTATTTTGTCTTTCTATCTTGGCTATCTGATCGACCGGTGTTGGAAAGTCAACACCTTTAAAACTGAGTCCGTCGTCTTTGGTGTATACAACAGGTTCTTCTTTATGAATTTTATAATTAGGATTATTTCTTATTTGATTTTTTACTTTATCCGTATACAACTCAAGAGCAGCTCTCAAACACCATCTCAAACACTCATCGTCTTTGTTTTTGATGTTGATCATCGCCTTCTTAATTTTAAGATATTCGGGTAGGTCTATGTAGGAACTACCTCTCGCTGGATTATATCTGTTGATGTTGATGTATAACGCCATTATCTTTTTTAAAACCCAACCCGATCCTTGATTCGTATACCTTTCATCCTTTTTGAATAGCTCGTCGATCTCTTCTTTTAAAGCTTGTTTTATTTGACTTTGATTTAAAACGGCTTTTTGCTTGCTATAATGAATAGCTTCGATCGTTTCGATCGTACCATCCGGTTTGGTTTTTTCGTATTTTATTTTGATTGTGAGCTCCATTTTTAAACCTCTCAGCTCTCTCAATTCAGACTTGATTTTATTGACTATTTGTTCCTTGTGCGAATCAAAAAACTTGATTAAATCGTGGTTATAAAGTCTGGGGTTTAATTCCCAGTTTCTGTAGTAATTTCTAAACCTTCTCGTTTCTCTAAAAGCTGACTCTGTAAAGTATTCGGGTTGTCTGTATGTTTTAATCGCCGAGATTAAATCTTTTTTCAAAACTCGTCCTTTATAACCCGTCGGTACGTATTCTAGATTGTGTTCGTCTACAATCTGTTTGAGCTCATAAAGTTTCTTTTTCCTCAAGTTTTTAAATTTACTTTCATAATGTTTTATCCCCTCGATGTAAACTTTACGAGTAAGAGAAACATTTTCATTGTGTGGTATACTATACCGCTGCACGTAATCACGCAGCGTGGCTTTGTTCCATTTAGAATATCCTTTGACGGTCGGTCTAAACATATTACTCTCCATTTTATTATAGGAAATATAATATTTTTTTTCTCATTTTTTTTGGAAGACAGACTTTAGATTTATAAGCAATCAGACTCACCTCATTCGTGCCTCAACACGTTTCAAGGTCGCGTTGTTTACGCCAAAATTTTATCGTGCCTCAACACGTTTCAAGGTCACGTGGTGGTGACTCCCACATTTTTCAAGGTCACGTGGTGGTGACATCACCTCATTTTAGCGATGACAGATTTTTTTATTTTTTTCTCTCTCTCTCTCGGCGTCAGATTTTTTTTTTTTTTTTTTTTTTTTTTTTCTCCCAGCGTCAGATATTTTTTTTTTCTCTCTCTCTCTCCCGGCGTCAGGATTTTTTTTTTTTTTTTTTTTCTCTCTCCCGGCGTCAGATATTTTTTTTTCTCTCTCTCTCTCTCTCTCCCGGCGTCAGATTTTTTTATTTTTTTTTTTTTTCTTGAGATCGGGGGATTTCCCATTGGCCCTGTACTACCCACAGACCTATGACAAAGTCTGGTACCCTGACTTCTCATTAATGGCCCTGTACTACCCACAGACCTATGACAAAAGTCCAGCACCCCCGCCTCCCTTACTACTACCAGCCATGTTTACCCATCCTATCAAGATGGTAAAAAGAGAAAACAGGTCACGATGAAGCCATTTTTGGTGAGAGCAGTGGCCCAAAACATTATTTTAAGATGTTTTCCACAAATTTAGCATCAGAGATTACAGTTGTTTGAGCTGGAAGGCACAAATACCAGCTGTGCAAGTCAGAGTTTGGGATGTCATAAGGTTTAGTTCAACAAAATAATATTTAAAAGACTAATCATACAATTTTGCTAATAAATGGCCTTATCCCAGGGACTAAAAACATGAAAAAGGATGAATGCATTTATTTCTGCTCATTTCAAAATTATACATTAAATTTGAATAGAATTAATTACAGTAGAGTTTGAAAAGTTTCTTGAAAATTTATAATTCTTTGTTAAACCTAAAAACTGCAGTGATTAGTATAATTGTTTTCATTAATTTCAAGTTGAAATGGCAACCAAATAGGTACAACAATGAAAACAGAGATCTGGAATTTAATTCTTGAAAGGGCAAGGACATTTCAAGGAGGCAGTCAGGCAAAAATCAAGGCAACGGAGGCCATAGCTTCCTGAAATTCAATACCATTGATTTGAAAATTTGTTAAAATGTTTGGCAACCTTCACACTTGAAATTTGTAACCTTCAAAGAAAATAGTAAAAATTTCCATCAAGATAATCCCTTGTGAGTAAAGTTTGCAAAAATGTACGAAAAGGTTTTTTTTAAAGAAACTTAGTGAATATTAAAAGACTAATTTTTAAAGTAATCTTGAGTAATTTTGATTGTGTAAAGGTATATTGTGCATAGGATCATTTGCTCTTTGCAGGTTTTTTTTTTTTTTTCCCGAGGCAACAAAAGTGTTCAATATTTTAAGTAGGGTGCATAACAAGCATTCTGTTCAAGTCTTAGCTGAGTGGTTACTATGTAAATTGGAGAAAACAGAGAAAACATAATGCACAAGCCTTTGGATCTCGTAACTGGATTCTGTAGGCACCCCATTTTGAAACCACCTTCAATGTTTGTTTTCTGACAATACCATTTCAGGTGGAATTATTTCACAGGGTGTTTGTTACCAGTCCTATAGTTCTTCACTTTGAAGTTTCTGTCATTAAATCGGTAGGTGCTTATCTGGGTAATTGCAAATGATCCTACATGGCTTTAAAAAGTGAAGTTAACAGAAATACAGAATAATTAGACGTACAGGCTGTAATTTCTATTATCAGAAAATGTAATGTAAAGATAGCACAGTATACAATGAGTAGATGTATATGTTCTATTAGGAACAAATTGAAGAATATACACATAAAGGGAATTTACAAAGTCTTGTTGTGACTACTAAGATCTACATACAGTGGTGAATTGTTAAACTCTTAAAAGTCTACTTGAACATTTATTTTTTTTTTACAAAAGATTTATACTTTGCAACAAATAAATAATTGTTGCTAAAACACAAACTGAATTGATGATTTTTGTTCATTTTCAAGTTTTCTGAAATGGATTGTGACGAAAAACGTGAATTAGAAATTTGCTATTTGTGTGCCACCTTGAAAAGGTCCCACAAAGGTCCCGCACGTGTGGGACCTTTTCAAGGTGGCAGTCAGGCCAAAATCAAGGCAACTCAGGCCGTATAGCTTTCTGAAATTCAGCTTCAGTCGAATTGATTTCTAATCATTCAAACTGAAGGGATATTTGACAGTCTGAGAACAAATGTCAACAAAATTTGAAATTAAGATAAAAACATTCTGATAAACATGAGTCTTAATTCTGTGAATTAAGACAGGAAACCAAATTAATTTTCACTCATCTTTAGCAAACATTTCAATGAGTAAATTATCTTCAATATACATGTAAGCGTATCGTAAATTCAAATGTGTAAACGGAAACTGCAAAAAGTAATGTCAAAACTGAGTAAATAAAGGCTTATTGAACAGTAATCTGAGTACTAACTGTCGTGCTGAACGTACATGCTTAAAATGTATATCACAAAATACTTCTCAAGGATGAAGTGCTTGTAAAACTGTCTCAAAAGTTCTATTAAAAAGCACAATACATAATGGATTACATGTAGATTTTCCATTAGGAACCATTTTCAGAATCCCAGGGAGTTTTCGAAATCTTGGCTATGTCTCCAGCTTTGGCTTGTACTATTTAAAGCCTCTGATGAGGTCAAGAAATAAACCTCATGAACACTGTCAACACAATTCTCCATTCTGTGAATGAAGATCTGAAACCACATTAATAGAATGAGCTTTGTCACTCATCTTTAGGATACATTTGGACAAGCCAATTGACTTGTAAAGCAGCGTTTTATTAATTAAATCTGTACATGAAACTGCAAAAAAGTAACACAAAATTAACTGAGTGAATAAAGGCTTATCTTAAACACTAATATGCACATATTTGAACTGAGTAATGCATTATCTTGAACACTAATCCTAACACAAAATTGAACTGAGTAATGCATTTGTAAAGTTATAATTATTCAAAATAAATGTTAAGAATGTTAAATCTCAAGAACGAAATGATCCTAAACATTTCTCAAGTCTTGTTTATAAAGATAGCAGAATATATACAGCAACTTCCATCAGGAACAATTTAAGAATCTTAATTGTGTTTATGAAATCTTGGCTTTGTCCCTGGCTTTGACTTTGGGATTCATGATTTTTGTACGCTGATGTAAACTTTATATTGGTCCATTTTCTTCATTACAGACACAAAATCCTGTCACACAAGGCCAATGGTTGGTTGGTGCATTTTCACTGAGTTTGAATGTGGTAGGATTCTTAGGAATCTAGAGCCAGAGATGAAGCGGAAGCCACAAGGAAGCCGGGTTTTATAAACACCACAGAAAGTTGGTAAGTATTGGATAGATTGATGGCAATCCATGTACTGGGTGAGGGAGGGGTGTTGGGTTGAGGAGGCGGGGGTCATTACATTCAAACTCCTCAACACCCACTAAACTCCCCTCTCCTTTCAAATTTACCTTTTAATTTAGACAAACAATCGATTCAAGTCATCATGCATGTAAGATTAAAACAAATTGTCCCCCAATCAAATCTAATGTAGCTGTAGTCAAATCACTGTTTATATAAGACTTTGTATAGTAACAAAATGTAATTGATGCACTGTTTATTTAAGAATTTGTATGGTAAAATGGTTCACATCAGAGGGATCTGGCAGTTTGGATTTTTGAGGAGAGATGTGATATGACTGGGACATGAATGTTGATTGGTGCTGTAATGACTGGACAATTTCATCCTCAACATTTGCTGTTGGGATGATGATGATTGCTAGCCAATGTCATGTTGGATGACATCACACCTTGTGATACATCTTGATGAAGTAGTGTTCAGCCACTGCCAGCTGGCCATTGGATGTGAATGTGATTCCAAGTGGGAAACACAGACCCTGATCCACGCAATCAAGAAACCTGCCATCTTGGTCATAGTGGTGAATATGACCAGTGCCAGCTGCACCTTGGTCCACTGCAAGGTAGATGCCTGAGCTGTCACAGCATACACCATCACACCACACTGGCCCACCATTGATAGTTGGTTTGAAGGTGGTGTGTATAGAACCTTTACAGTCGGTAATATCCACTTTCTTTGTGTGGAATCCACTGACCACAACTCTATCAGTGTCGTCATCAACAGCCAGGAATTGAGGTGGAGTCTGCACTGGTATGGTGTGTAGGATCTCACCATCAGTGGGTCTGTGTTCAGTCCACACCATTCTTTCTATGTCTCCTACTAAAATAATACCGTTTGTCCTGACTGTTGTGCTCCTTAGGTTCACTTGTGTCTCCTCAACCTCACTCGGTGCTACCGTTGGGAATTTGAAGTCAAGAGTGTTGTCCTTCATGTTGAACACCTTGACATACTTGCTTCCATCTTCCAACACAAGCAAGCGTTGCTCAGGATTGTGGATGGCTGCAACTGCCAGTGGACCTGTGGGTAAAGAAGAACTCAAATGTAACATATGCACAGTATGTAAATGCACTGTCACTATTCTCAGTCCCCATGAAATACAACATACCTAATGAATACATGGCCTGCCTCAAAGCCCGGTCATGTACAAGTAGTACATCAACATTGTGTTGTCTCCAACCACCATACATGTTGTGAATAACTGGCACGTCTTGGAGACTCTGTTTGCAAATACATGAACATGTGCCTGTACCTGTACCTCGATGTACATGTACTCTCTGTGCTATTCTCATGGTTCAAACCTTACAAATATATTTAGTCTTGTATTTAACTGTTTATTTTTTAGCTAAAAAAAGTTATTAGATTTTCAAATGAAGCATTGAACAAAATATAGAGCAATTTTTAGTTTAAAAGTTTAAAACTTTAAATTAATAACTCAGTTCTTGCAAAGTACACTAATGCCTGCTGTATGTCAGAATTTACTTGAGGTTTGCATTTGTCTATAAAAAATGGGTGGTTGGGCGTGAAACTATGGTACAGTACATTCGTCAGTTGTATGTTTTAGAGAGAAAAAAGGAAGAAATGAACTTAAGCATTTTTAGTCCAAGCGTTCAAAAACTATTATTTACTTGTCAAGTAACTTCTGGCTTAAATGCATCTTTTCCAAAGTTTCCCGACATTGACTTCTAGTCTGATGAGGTCAGCATTATGAAATTTGAGAAAGTATTTTTATTGTCCAAAGAATATTTATGAGCAATTTGAAAAATTGTTGACAAATGGTCTTTAAATACCAAGAAAAAAAATATAACTTATTGAAACATGCCGCTAGAGCTTACTTAAGCTACACTGGTGCCCTCATGGTTTTTATTGGCTGTTTTGGCAACTGGCCGAAACAGCCTTGTTTTCGTTAAGATTTTTTTTTCTTTTTTTTTTCCAGTCATTTTTGCCCATAGCATTTGTACAAGTTTTTTTGTTACTGGCACTTTGGCCTCTAAAATCAACCGGATTGCCTTTATACTCGGCACACACTTAGACCAGCATCTGCAGTTGATCCTCGAACATTGACGTCATCATGTGTCACGTGACGTCACATTATATGCAATTTTTCTGTTGTGACCATTTTCTAGCAGAATTCGGCTAGATCTGACAGATGGGCTCTATCTCCACAACTGCAGGTCCGATTGGGTTGAAAGTTGGTATTTACCTAGACCAGGATGTCTTATAGATGAATACTCGACGTCATGACAACGTCATCATGTGACATATGACGTCATATAAAATAAATATATTTTGAAGGCCTATATCTCCTGAACTACCGTACAGGTCCTATGGGGTTGAAAGTTGGTATGTACCTAAACCGGGATGTGTTATAGATGAAAATTGAAGTGACGTCACGATGACGTCATCATGGGTCACGTGACATCACGTTAAAGATTAATAGATCTTTGAAAATCTATATACAATCATCCGTAAGAGACCTGAACTTGACGTTTACAGGAATGGATAGAATAATCCAGGGTCTTCATTTTTTTTTTATATTATGTGCAAAATCACGTGACCCTTCCTTCCGGTTGAACCGGAAGTGCCTTGAAATTTAAAATTGGTGAAAGATGTGAACTTGCTTTCAACGATGTATGCTATGGCTTAGTTGTTATTTACAAACAAAATATAGTTATAGATGAAAATTGATGTGACGTCATCATGACATTATGATGTCACATGTGATGTCAAAAATCAAAGCCCTATGGGAATGTAATCACATATTATATTCACTAGTTCCTGGATGTAACTTATACATGAAACTTTCCATGGTCACTTGCCACAAAAAAAATCCAAAACAGCCCTGTTTTTGTCCACAAACATAAGTCTAGGTTTCTTTAAAGTTATTTTTTTGTTCTTGTTTTTTTCTTTTTCAGACTTTTGTCCATAGCATTTGTACACGTTTTCATTGTGCCCAGCACTTTGGGCACTAAAATCAACCCGATTGCCTTTGGCACACGCTTAGACCAGCACCTGCTGCTGTGTCATCATGACATCACCAGTCACGTGACTTCACAATATAGGTTCATATTTTGAAAGCCTATATCTCCAAAACTGCAGGTCCGATTTGGTTGAAACCTGGCATGTACATTTTTAGAAAGGGATGTGTTATAGATGAAATTTAAGTGACGTCACGATGATATAAATGTGACGTTACGTTATAGATTAATGTATGTAGATCTAATCTATGAAAATCAATATAAAATCAACCGTGAGAAACCTAAACTTGAGTTTTGCGGGAATTGATAGAATAATCCAGGGTCTTCAATTTTGATATTATGCGCAAAATCACATGACCCTTCCTTCCTTGTTGAAACTGGAAGTGACTTGTAATTTGAAATTGGTTAAAGATGTGGAATTGCTTTCAATGATGTATGTTGTGGCTAGTTTATTCTAAATTAACGGTGACGTCATGAAATGTTAGAGCGCCCTCTAGCAGCAGGTTGTTATAGTTAATTTCAGATGAAAATTAATGTGACGTCATCAGGATGTCATTACGTAACATGGGATGTAATAATTTAAAGCCCTATGAGACTGTCATCACATATTTATATGCCACAATTTAGTATACCTACATCCTTCCTGGATGGTCTTGAAAATATGTCACATATGTCGAACAAAAGTTACCGAAACAGCCCTGTGTTTGCCCACAAACATAAGTCTAGTGTTATTTGTCATTGAACATTTCCTGAATAAGTTTTATTGTAGTAAACTGCTTGTGTTTTCAAGTTACATTCATTATATTTTTAAAATTGTTTTAAATTTTATTTTAGCCACATCCAACAGCGCAAGCGCCAATAACAGGATGGATAAATGGAGAGAAGACAATGAGAAGAAGTTACAGTTTTAGAGGTGGGAGGAAAAGCCCAGAAGAATATTCTGGGGAAAACCCACGGAATCAGGTAGGGACTGAAAACCCAATCCACATATTGTCCTAGGCGGGATTCGAACCCAGGTCACAGCGGTGGAAGGCGAGGAAAGTACCGCTACGCCAACCTGACTCCCCGATCATTGCATATCCGGTAACCCTGAAAGCAAAGGTCAAACAGTTTTGTGCCTGGGAGTCAAATACGATGCTCAAGGCAATTTCAATGTCTACCACCTCACATCAAAAGAACCTTATAATACTGAACATTAATGTTGTCAAGATTTGACATTGAAGGGGCACATTGTCCTGAAATAACAAAATGTTTGTTTTAAAACTGTTCAAACAAGTTTAAACAAGCTTTATACTGTATATGTGTCCATGATGTCAGACGATTTCAATGTACACAAATATATGGTATCCTGTGTGTGAGACTATGACTTGTGTACGTGTGCGACAGGATTCACGCTGCACCTAAACAGCTCAATTTTGAGAGTCAAAATTTATGACCCCCGAAATTCATTCTTGCAAGAATAACACACACACTGCCAACTTTTAACCCTAACCCTCAGGAAGCATGCATCCTCTTTCAAAATCCTCAAAAAAATTGCACTTCATGTTCAAATGAAGGATACCCAGCACCTGAATCCTTCAAAATTGTCAGACAGTCCTGCCTCAAAAATACATCCATCCTCAATCCTCCAAAATCCTCTTCTTCTTCAAACACCAGTCATCCTCAATCATCCAGGAGGGTTTAGGAAGGATGTTTGTGTGGACGTTAATATGCTCTTTGTAGCCCAATGGGGTGCTTTCCAGGATGCAGTATCTCTTTAAATCACTCTTTATTTGATAATCTGTGACGTCATTGTACATGTATATCACCATTTTTGTCACAACTTTGTACAACAGTGCATGTTTTACAATGTTTTGTCTTCATACAATGTACTTTGAACCGTAAGGGAGAAATTCCATTGGTTTTAAAACTCATGCTGCTTTCGCAGTATTTTGAATTCACCAAAAAACTTTGACAGTTAACCCCAGAAGGTTAACCCCTATTTTGCTTGGTCTTAAAAAGACCAAGCAAAATAGGGACAATAAAGGGTCCCCAATTGTAAGCAAATACACACTTGGGTGTGTGTGGGTAGGCCTATTTTTGTGTTTAATGGCACACTGCGGTATTTCGTAGGCCCCAAAATTTTGTGTACAAAAAAACAATGTAGGCCCCCAAATTTTTCGTAGGACCTACTTGTACATGTAGGCACAGTGCTTACTGTGCCTATTGGGTTATCTGGGCCTGCATTATTGTCCATAAAAAAGCAAAGCACCAACACGAACACTACAGAAGAACAAAGAGAAAACCGAAGGCTGATCTTGATGGGGGCTTAATAAAGGGATCAGGCCTAGAACACTCTACTCACAGGGCAGATTGGTTTCTTTGTGAAACAACCTAAAGGTAACTTCGCTCTTTTCTAAAGGTTACAGACCCCCTAAATAAGAATTTTTTTGGTGACATGAAGAGTTAAGTTGCTGGGAGAACAAAATCAAATTTGCACTGCCAGCGCATCAATTCCTTGCCAGTTTTTTTATTGGTTTTCATTCTCAGTTGTCAGATCTGCATGTGCACATGGAAGACTTAATTTCCACACAATTATGAAAGTTTGTGTTGATGGACATGTGCATGAAAGAAACTTACGTTGTAGGGGAATGGTTCCCTTGTGTTGTCCCTCATTGCTGCAGATGACCACTCGTTTGTTCCTATAGTCTGCCACAGCAATCTCACCAGGTTGAGTAGCAGTAATATCTACAACCCCATCAAACTTTCCTGGACCACTTCCTCTTTTACCAAACTCACGTAGCATCTCCCACTTGCCTTTGACGGCCAGCTTGCCCAGATTGATGTCACCAATCCTCTGACCCGGGGTGAAGCTCAGATATGAAAGCTTGGGATCAATCTGGGGAGGAGTTTGGCTCTTTGCTGATGATAGGAAAGAGGGAAAGCAAATCAGTGTCAGATGCAGTTATAATGATATCCTGGGATGTCCCTCGCGAATGTTGTTTACTTAGTAGCATCGATGTCAGTATTGACTGATGCTTATCATATGTTCTGTTGCGATCCTGCTGGAGTTGTTTGTTTTGTCAATCATCTTTGTTTCTTGAGTTGTTATCTAAGCTCTTATTTTATCCGCTTTGTCTGTTACAGCTTTCACAGTCTTTGTGACGTTCTGTGTAAACCTCCGCTAATTAAGCTTGTGGTGGAGTGGACAAAGAGTGTTCAAATCTTTTGATGTCTGCATGGGCATCAATTGGTGGGGGGTCCCCACTTTTTAAAGTGGTGGGGATGTCGTTTTCCCCTCCCCCACCACCACCCCTTTCCTGTCTGCAAATAAACGTTGTAAAATACGTATAGCTCAGAATATCTGAGTCAATGATTTCAAACTCAACAATTATGTTAAAATGATGATCTTGTGCTCAAAAATTGGTTAAAGTATTCAGCATATGCCTCAGATCAGATCACAGAGCATCTAGAATGCATAAATATTTTTTTTGGGGGGGGGGCCACGCCATTAATTATGTTAAAATGATGATCTTGTGCTCAAACATTGGTTAAAGTATTCAGCATTTGCCTCAGATCAGACCACAGAGCATCTAGAATCCATACATTTTTTGTGGGCCCCCACGCCATTAGGTTTTGCTCTTTGCGCTCGCATTTGTTCTGGTCAAAGTATGTCCCCCACCCCCCTCTTTTGAGTAGCAATTGACGACCTTGGATGTCTGTGGTGAGACAGAAGCCTGTCCAGAGTCAGTGTAGTGATGTTTTGGTTTACAGTGGTTTACTACAGTTACAAGCTCAGCAGAGTATCTCTCACATGCCACCCTTGTGTTTCTGGCATTTAGACTCATCTTCTTCTGGTGTCTGTTTCACTGAACTAACCACCTTTTCTTGGTGTGAGACCTCCTCAAATATATCCCCATCAAATGGAAATTTGTTTTGAGGCCTTGAATGCGTGTCTCTGATGAGAGTACTGTCTCCAGTCAACACAAAGGGCAAGAAATCTTTGGTTGACCTCCATATACCGGCTGGTGTAGTATTTCTTCAGACATTCTGCACAACAGCTGTGCTGGCGATTCTTATGCTGTTTATATATCTGCCATGACAGATGTCACACTCGATGTTCTTTAGAGCTGTAGCCATTTTATGTGTATCCAAAGGGTATTTAAAAAGAAATTGGAAAGGTTATAATACAGCGATAACTTATTTTATTATAAATTAATAATGCACTGTCTATGTGAGTTTCAACCGGGCATAACAGACCAGTACCGGTATTTCTTTTCAATTGCTATTTTGTAACCAGAGAAAAGTTAATCAAGACATGGAATTAAAAAAATGGTGGTTGTTTTGTGGCCACTCATGTTATTACTCAATAGGTTTTGTTGGAACATTACCACTGTACATACTCTACATTTTGTTGTTTCAGGCAAACTGTGATTTCCTACACTTGTATCGGTAAGCTAGCCCCTGACTATCTCAGTGAATTACTGCATACTACTTGTTCCAGTTCATGTAGAAACACACGATTGTCATGTGATAAAACCAGACTACAGCACTGTAACACCAGATTATGCACATTTGGGGATAGAGCTTTTTCCGCCATTGCCCCTAAATTATGGAACCAACTGAACTCGTGCCTCAGGGAAACGGAAAGTATCGATGTTTTTAAATCCGGGCTGAAAACTTATTTCTTTCGAAAGGCATTTTTATGATCTTATAGACACATGTATTTGTAGTTGTTGTAGATTTTACTATCCCCTGAAGGTTTATTTTAGCACTTATTTCCCATTCTTTATTTTTCTTTAGGGATTTAGTTTTGGTGTATGTCTCTTTTAACAAACATTTTATTGTATAAGTGGTCACAGCTGGTCTGTTTTACATTTACTTACCTTTGTATTTTAAAATAGTGTATATTTCTATATTTGCTTGTCATTTTTTGTTTGTAATTTCATGCTGATTTTAAACTGATTTTTACATTTTTCTTGTTAATTCTAATAATTACTTTGTGTTTAAAGGGATTTGCTTTATGTTACTCTGTAAGCGCCCTGGAGCATTGTTTTTTCGATGGATTGGGCGCTATATAAATATTTGCTGATTATTATTATTATATTATTTAACCACATTCAAAATACACGAATGTAACTGACAACATTTGCTTACATCTTTTACATTCCCCTCAAATCACTTAAAAACAAGTTTTTCCAATTTGACGCAAAGAGCACAAATAGTTGAGGTGTTTGATGGGATGGATCCAGTGTACACCAGATTAACAAATCGCCCAATGGTAACTTTTGGCCTGGTTCAAAGCAAAGCAGAAGCCTGCACTTCTGTTGTGATGCGCAATATTGACGGTGTCAGTTGGTGCAGATTGAGCAGAACTGGCAGACACAGTAGTGGCCGCCACCGTGACCCACAACTCCATGTCCTGTGGCCCCCCAGGAACGTCTCGGGTTAGCCTCTTCGCCCAGACGAAACTGTTCCTTCTCCACGTGCCATCCCAAGCCCCTAAACTGGCAGGCAGCCATCCTCATTGTCTCCACATATTTGATCTGCTCACCTACGCGGAGAGGGTAACGCACCACATAAATGGCCATAAAAGTGTGGAATGCTGTCAGCCATTTATCGATATCAATTTTGTTTTGCGGGGAAATCTGGTTTGCAGACGATCGAGCCATTCTCAAGTGCCAACTTCGGGATTCTCTCATTTGGATGATTGACTAGAGAAGTCGCGGCTGTGTCATTAAATAAAAGCAGCAGATCAACGTACCTGTCACTTCATATTTGTTTCCTAAACATTAATCGGGACTTGATAACCCGAGGGTGCTTTGCCCTGACCCGACAAGATCCGGCGGGTCTGGTCTAAGTATAAAGAATGGGAACTCAGTGCCGAGGCCGGTACAGGCTGGCTATTGCGAAGGTGAGTGACGGAAGTGTCATGCCTCGTATTACTACCAAATACACTAACCTGATCAGCCATGTCTGAGTCAGTAAGTTAGAAATGTTCAGTGTTCATGGTAGGCAATGCTAGAGCCTTAGACTCACCCTGGATTCGTCGTTGGCGTGGTCCACTTCCCCTACTCGATCCAGGAACTTGGTCAAGCTTCGGCTCCTCTGCTCGGTCCCAACCTTGCTGCTGGCATCCCACTTCCGGAGTTGTTACATCCTCCAGCTGTGACCGCCGTCCACGCACTCCTGACTGGATAGCAAACAAACGAGGTGACCGGCGCAGCTTCCTGGCATCCTTCCCTTTCCCGGATGCTTGAGCTGAGGCTGACCGATTGGCTTTAGGCATCTTCAAAGGACAAGGAAACTAAAACATGTTCAATGGGAAAATGAAAGCTGAGAAAACATGGATGGCGTACACTTCAAAAGAAAATCTAAAGATGAGAAAATCAAAATTGAAAGCTGAGAACGTGAATAATGTTTCCACATTCATTTGCTGCAACGAAGTAGGCCTCACCACACGGCAACAGCCCAAGCATTACCTCTATCCAATCGCATTACTTCTGGACTATCCAATCAAACTTGTTAATACGTTTTCATAAGCCCAAACCCATTCCTTGGGCAGGAAACCAGTTTGTGCAGAGTGTAAGAGAATTTATCGTTCAGTTGATAAAATTAATTCATCAATACTGCACTGTCTGTGTGAGTTTGGGCAAGAAAGACCAGTATTTCCTTTCAATTGCTTTTTTGCAGTCAGACAAAAGTTAATTTTTTTGAAACAAGACATCAAATAAATCCTGTCAAATTTTGAAGAGCTCTGACATTTTGAAGTGCTCTGATGGTTTGTTTCCACTCTTGTTATTACTCAATACTTGTAGGTTTTGTTGGAACATTACTACTGTGTGTACTCTTCGCATTTTGTTGTTTCAGGCAAACTGTGATTTCCTAAACTTGTATCAGTAGGCCAGCATTTAATCTCATTCAAAATAACTGACAATATTTTCTTACCTTTTTTGAATCCCCAGTCTAATCTTTTAAAGATGATGTTTATCACGTAAAGAGCACAAACAGTTGAGGCTTTTGATGGGGCAGATCTGGTAAAGATGGCGCTGGGCAAACACAGCATCGTCATCAAGTCGTGTGACATGGTTTATATATATAGAGCTTGGGATTTTTGTTGTGCTGCATACGTGTACATGTACAATCTGTATATATCGGTTTATCTGTGTACATATTTACTTGACACTTGAGTTTTGGACCTTAGATGGGTGCATGCATTCTATTTATATGTACATGCTGCACTTTGTTAAATTTCAATCGCATACACCTCACATACATTTAATTCCACTCAGTTTTTTTTTCAACCATCAAATTAAATAAGCTGTCAAAATATTTTGATCAAGTCCTTCATACATGTATTTCTCACACACAAAAGTTTCTTTTATCTTGTAAAAATACTGATCAAGAATTTTCAGTCTATCTGAAATTGGTCCATGCATATCCGTGCTACTGGGGGAAGTTGAGTGTAATGGAGTACAACAGAATTGACTGTACATAAATTTATAAGGGGCGACTATGTCCTGATCAGTTGGAAACCAAAACAAATCAAATGAGAGGAGTTGCCAAAAGTTACCCAAACAAACAGTGGTACACCCAATGGGGAGGGGTGGCTTTTAAAAAATAAATAACAGGACTGTGAAAAGTTTCGAATTTTCTTGGCTCTGTACTTAAAGATTCTAATTGAAGAATGTAGCTATAAAGACCATTGTTGATTATAAAATGCTATATAAACCAACTCAGAAGGATATGAAAACTGTCAAGTCCAATCAATTAAAACAATAATGTAAAAATAGACTCCTGTGATTTCTAAACCCAATGGACATCCATGACATGCAGATTAGTAAAATTTTAGTTGTCATCCAGTCCAGAGAATATTTTCCTCAATAAATCGTCTCGGTTTTCTTCTAAATATTTTCCACAGGGAGCAGCAGTGACTGGATCCCAAGTAGCAACTTAGAGGACATACCAGGCACAGCAGCTAACAGGATGCCTAACTTCCCCCATCAAGACACTGTCAAGAGAGGATGGCTTTGAAATGAACAAGTAAGCATCTCACCCCTCCACCACCCCCACTACACTCAATCAGCATGCGTTCAGGACTTGAAAACAGCTTACACTCAGGAATGAAGGAAGGGAGAGTCATCGCCAATAGAGGGCGCTGTGGCATATTTATTTGTTGGGGATCTGAAGAAAAGGTGAAACAACTGACATTGTCAGCGGCTCTGAAGACTTGCAGACTGGTCCAAGAAATCTGAAATTTATTTGACCAGCTGGAATCCACACATAAAAGTGTCTGCCAATATATGTGTCAAACAAAGTAATCCCAAAAAAATAAGTTGATGAATATGTAATTGCCAAAACTTGTAGAAAATAGTTCGTCACACAGTCATTAATAGTTAAACACATGTAAAAGTTTGAACCCAATTCCACAGTTTCTGTTGTATGGTTCATCTGAGTTGTGGGATTCTGTTGGATTTAGGAGACTTCACTTTGTGGGTTTCTTTGGAGGTCGAGGTTTCCATGTGGAATAACAATGTAACAGTTTCAAGGCATGATTGTTCTTTTTAATTTTTAGATGGAGAAAAGAGCTACTACAAAGAACTACAGAGTGGTAAGTGAATTCTTATTCTGAATAAATGAATGAATTTATTTCTGTTCATTATATTTCAAAACATCTGATTTTACAAGTCAATTTGAATATTTAACTGTAACAACAGAGTTTGAAAAGTGTCATCAAAATTGACTAATTGTTTGCTGAAACTCTAACTGTATGAGGGCGTGATTCTTTCATTGTTTTGAAGTTTGCTGAAATTGCAACCAAATAAGTAAAACAATGAAAACAGAGGTA